CTATCTTGCGGCCCAGTACAACAAGGGCCGCATCTGTCTGGGGGTCCATCTCGACATGGAGAAGGCCTTCGACAGAGTGTGGCACGAGGGTCTGCTGCACAAGCTGTTGGAAAACACCACCACCCACCGTGCGCTCGTGCGGTTAGTAGCGTCATTTCTTCAGGCACCGGAAGTTCGTCGTACACGTCGAGGGAGCCGACTCGGCGGTACGATGCATCAAAGCCGGTGTACCACAAGGTAGTTGTCTGTCGCCACACCTGTATGCGGTGTACACGGACGACATTCCCATCTTGGAGCAAAACGCCTCCGACTGGGATGAAGACGTACTGTTGGCCCTGTACGCGGATGACAGTGCGTTCTTCACGTCTTTTCACGTCACGGCGATTGCGGCGAGGAAAATGCAGCGCCAACTGGACCTGCCAGTGGACCTGCCTGCCAGTGGACCTGCCTGCTGCCCGAGTGGCTGGATAAGTGGCGGATGTCTGTCAACGTCGACAAGACGTCCGCCATATATATCCGCCGCATTAAAAACCAACCCACGCTTGAGCTGCGAGGTCAGGCGATTACCAATCAGAACGTCATAAGGTACCTTGGATGCCGGATAGACCACTCGCTGTGCATGGCTCCCCAGGTCGGACACGCCGTCCGACAAGCCAGAGCAGCTCGAGCCATGCTGTACCCTATCCTGGCATCCAGGTTACCGATCAAGACCAAACTCGGCGTCTACAAGACGTACGTCCGTTCGCGCCTGACATACGCCGCTCCGGCGTAGTATGGTCTGGTTTAGGTTGGCGATAAGGCAGACTTAAAACACAATTTTAATCAGTTTTCGAAAATGGCTGGACGTGACTGGTTGTTGTCATTTACCTTGCAGAGCAGATCACGCCTTACGAAGTAGCATCCTTATTGCGGAAGATATTTAATAACGTTTCACCTATTAGTAAAGGGGAATCGATATTTAGGACTACTGGTATTTACCCCATAAACCCCGACGTGTTTTCTGAAGAAGATTTTCTGCCAGCCGAATTGCTCCAATCGGAGACTACTGCCATTCAAAACTATGATGAGTCAGATGCTATTGATGACCTAGCATCAGGTCAAGGAGAATCTTCAATAACTGGCACATCAATGCATGTTGGTTCACTGAAGCCAACATCACCACCAAAAACTTCTTGCGCAGTTGATTACCTAGGCCCTGGTCTGTGAGCTGGGATATGTTTGCGATTAGTGTTAGGTTTTGTTTTATCCACATTGCCCACAAGGTGACCACAATTACCCTTACCTCAGTGCAATTGGAGTCAAAACTGTTTTTTTACTTTAACTCTTTTACTTGCCAAAGTTAATTATTAATGTGCATATCATCCATTGAACTCAAACGATAGCCAAGTAAGTAAACTTTGTTATGAGGCGGTTGCAATAAGGATTCTGTTTCAAACTTTTTAATTATTTAATTTTTCGCTTAAGTGACCCCCATTACCCCTTTTCCCCCTACTAGGTAGGTATATATAATTATAACTGGCTATCAAGTAATGTATCATGGTTCCCTCACCTTGCCCTTATTAATAATAATAATAATATTAATTCTTTATTTTCTCACCACAGTATGTATCACAATAGCATTTCAAAAGGTGGATGTACAAATTAATTTTCATATTGTCGGATACTGATGCACCAAAACTAAGCTCAAGGCTTGTATTATTGGGTCATCAGGTCCCCTCTCCTTATAAATTTGACAATGTGTTTGCAATTTAAAGACGTATCTTTCAAATACATTTACAATTTCCATTCTAAAATGAGAGTTAATGAGAACTTAAAGATTACTGTTAATAAGTGAACATGCATATAAATTAAAATTAAATCTAACAATTAAACCACTATCATACGTGCTGGTGTTCGTGTGTGCGTGTGCGTGTGCGTGTGCGTGTGCGTGTGCGGGTGCGTGTGCGGGTGCGTGTGCGGGTGCGTGTGCGTGTGCGTGGGCGTGTGCGTATTCGTGTGCGTGTGCGTACCTACGTACCTATTGCTTTATTTGCATATAAGGAAAAATATTATATTAGAAACGATAGGAGTTTTTCTGTGTCATTGTAATTTAGACCCTGTAACCATTCAGTCACTTTCTTTTTACATACATATTTTGTTTTTGTATAAATGGAAACATTTTTGTTGACTTTGTTGTATAAATAACTACCCAGAAAACAGAAGAAGCGACAGGAAAATTTTTTAGTTATTTTATTTGTGTATCTGTCAGCAGGGACATGACGCCTGCTCTCTTTGAAGTTTTTGGGACAGATCTTGAGTTGTCCATGTTGTTTGAGGATTGTGTGTAATAAAAATAGTTGGCAAACCGTGAGTACTTTTGCTTTTTGGTATAACTCCGTGGTCGAAAAACTAAATGGTAAAAAATGTGATACTTTGAGAATTGCACGCTGGGTTCTTTCAAGTTCAAGAATTATGGTCTTGGGCGCACCACCCCAAGATGTGATACAGTAAGTGAGAAGAGATTGTGCAAGCGAATAATATATTTTTTTGCACAATTGCGCATCAACAACATGCCTTAATGTTTTGAAAATGTATACAAGTTTTCGGAGCCTGCCATTTAAGGTGTTGATATGGGACTTAAAACGTAAATTGTTATCCAACAGTATACCCATATATTTAACATTGTCTGCTTTGTTAAGGTGAGCGCATGAACAGTTGGTATTTTGAGGTTCGGGGCAAGTATGTGCAATGATATTGTATTCATTAGGAATTTCAGTGGTATTTTTTATTGTGAAAGTCATGTACTTAGTTTCTTCTGCATTGAGTGTAAGCATATTATTGATCTTTTTTAAATGCTTTGAAAGGAGAATTTTCATAGTCGAAACACTTTTACAAATAATTCTCAACTTTCATAAGCAGGAGGCAATATTTTTGTCATTATAAATAATCTTTAATCGAGGCCATTATGTTATTTATTTTTAAACTTTATGCACAAAACAGTGAACAGCGGACTTAATGCTGACAGCATTTTCTACCAGTCAACCTTAGGGTGATACTGAGAAGTTGAGGTAGATGCACAAACACAGTTATAAAATAAAAAAAAAACATAATTATTATATATAAAAATATAACATGTTATAAATGGACTTAAAACTTACTCTCTTATTTAATACAAACACGTACAAACATACTTTCTTATTCTTTCACACAAAACACAAGCATGGCATAGTTGAATGCATTAATTAATGATGATAGCAAAATTTCAAATATGTTCAAAGACTACTTTTCGGTTCGATCACCTTTAGAACTTTGTTCTCAAAATGATAGCGTTGAGAGGCCTGTTATCCATGAGGACTATCATGCAATTTTAGGTTCTGAACCACGCAAGTGCTCAGTAAAATAAACAACATGCCCAGGGGCAAACCGCCAAGAAGTGACGGTGTACACAATAGTAGTTCCTATATCCTATAGTTAAAAATAACACTGGTGGTGACATATCGGATAAGGGCATCTATAGACCTCTCTCAATTGCCACGATAATAGCCAAGTTGCTTGAGAGCCTACGAACGACATTCTGACGGAACACATGAATCTGCACGACGCGCAATTTGGTTTCAGGTCGGGACTGCCTACCGCTTAGCAGAACGGGTATTTTGTCTGAATGTGTTTCGTTACTTATGGTTGTATGCTATATTCTGGTATGGTAGTCAAAAGAAACAAGTGAGATGGATTGGAGCCCTTTCTGATGGATATTGTTTGGATTGCGGTGTGAGGCAGGGCGGTCTTACTTCACCAACACTTTTTAAATTATATAATATCGACCTGATAGAGGAACTCAGTAGTATACATGTTGGATGTTATATTGGTGGTATTTGTGTAAATAACTTTAGTTATGCCGATGACATGGTACTACTGAGTCCTATCAGAGGTCTAAGAAAATTGTTATTTATCTGTGACAGATATGCGGAAAAACATGACTTAAAATACAATTCTTCAAAGAGTGAAATATTATTATTTAAAACTGGAAAATATAGACCGCCCAATCCACCTCCAGTTTTTCTTAACGGATCTACCCTGAATAGTAGACTGCCTTAAATACCTTGGTTACATCATAACGGAGGACCTTAAAGATGATAAGGATATTGAACGTGAACGCAGGGCGCTAGCAGTGAGGAGTAACTTATTGGCATGCAGGTTCCCTCGATGTTACAAAGTAAAAATGTTACTTTTTAAAACTATTATAATATTGCGTCTGCTCGACTCCGGCCCTAGCAAAATTGCGACATTATACATCGCGCCTTCCAGCGGATCAGCTGAAGACCGGCCAGTAGTTCCCCTCGAGGACTGCTAACGCAGGCGTGCTAATGAGCGACAGGCCTTCGTGAGGAAAGCCAACGAAACCACTTGAACAAGAATGCTTTCTCCGACGCGTAGATCAAGGTAGACATGAACGTTCCAGATACTGATACGCTAGATAGCTTATCCTCCGAAGGCCGAAATATGAAACATTTCCCAAAACAGTTTCCTGACCTTTAACTAATAAGTTTGGCGCGTGTGTTTTGATGTGCTTATCGATGTGCCAGCCTTTTTGATAGTCTGAGCGCTCTGGAACCTACTTACGAAACTTATGAGGTGCAAAATTCAGTTGGTTTCTAAATCCCCAGTTCGATAAGCTATGTAGAGTTGCCGACGCAACCCTTTCTAGAGTTCGAAATTCGAATCCGCCTCGATGACGTCGTTTTTTTTTTAATGTGAAAAGTTGATGTTAAGTGAATACCGCCGCCCATGGACATCCGCTACACCCGAGAGTTGCAGATGCGTTGACAACCGATTGACAATTGGGCTTTGGTTACCTCACTCACCAGACCAAACGCGGAAGTATTATACTTTCACTTTACGCCGGTCTTCTGAGGTCGTGATACTTACCCGGACAAGCCTGCCCATTAGCCATAGTGCAACAGCTGAGGCTGCTGCGTGGCCCTACCACCGTCACTGCTGTATGCAACACCGTTCTCAAGTGAATGTTCCATCTGAGCATTCAACAAGGTACGTCCAAGGATCGAACCTTACCCATCGAGGAGACCGGCTACTTCGCGGCGCCATCCGTGAAAATGCCCCGCCCCCTGCGATCGGATTGGAGGACTGGCACGGGTAAATGGGATCCCAGTCAGAAACGGGTTCCCTTAAAACACCCACTTCGCATCTGTCTCAGTCGCATCGGCCGGTGCGACTATGGGCTTCCTGTGCCACCTCTTCTCGGTTGCTTCGACACCCCAGAAGAAGTGGCACAAGGTTTAAAGCGTAAACATCATTAACGTTATTAATATTTTTTGATTTCAATTATAAACGCTTCGTAGCTTATGCTTTTGTAAAATCATTTGCAACTACATATTCATGTGTTGTTGACAAATAACTGTTTCTTTTCCTTAAACATTTTTGGGATAAGTTCATGAAGAACTTGCCTTAGAAAAATAAGAACAGTGGTAGCCACTAGCTATAGGTCCAGCTACGCAACACAGGTGCTTACCAGCCCGATGTAAGTCATCGTAACCTGGTTTCATGATCCTTAGTATTCTGATGAATTTTGTCCAATAGAATAGTCTCCGAAATAGGAGCTACAGTGCTCCCGTATTCCATAGATACCTACTTCATGAACTCTCTGAGGAGACACTCCGGCACGATTTGGACAAAGTTCAGAAGAGTTTAAATTTTGTGCTACGCTTACGCGCTATTCATCTATTTTCATCTCATTCTCACTTAACTTTGATTAAAATAGTGATGTATATTATGCATACATAAATAGCATAAAGACTTAGCACCAGATTCGAGTCCAGTGGGAATAGAACCCAAGACCTGCCTCATTTAGAGCATAAGTCGCAACTTATTTAATTGCATTTGCAATCCTTTAATAGAGCCGACAAATAAATTAACATTAGGTTAAAAGAAAACAATATTTTTAAACACAAATTTATTGACAAAGTTAAATCGCATCACACAGTACAAATCAGTCAAAAATGATTAAATGGTAACTATATTGAACATATTTCCACATTTCCGTTGAAGTAACATATTGTATATTTAAACAGAAGTGTGTCATAATAACTAAAATAAGGAATATAACAAATAATGATTTAAAAATGCACTTACAAGTAAAACTGAAATAAATCTATAAAAAATAATGTACAGTTATATAAAATAAAAATTATATATCTTGACTAGTTAACCTATTTTGACATAAATAATTTAATATCTAATATTTAATGGTAATACTGAATGTAGTTTTTTATTCAATTTAAAATATGAATATTGATAATTATTTATATGAAAGTTGTACAATTTAATTTACTATTGATAGAAGTGATAAATAGAAAATGTTAGGAAAATTTTGACTTTATAATAAATAACATTATTCTTCTATTGTTGTCTTTGTTGTTGTTCCTTCATTTAGATATCAATTTCTAAAATCTGGTAAAAAAAATTATAGCGAAATTTAGATTGCTTCTATTACGAATTATCAAAATTTAAAATATGACAAAAAACAAAGTAAAACATTTTGATAAATTTGAGCCCCAACATCAAATTATGGTATGTGAATTTAAAACATTTTTAAATAACTATGTCATATTTATTAACTTTAGTTTATTGATAATACAAAGAAAATAAATATTTTAAGAGTTGATTTTAGAGTAGATTTTAAGAGATTCGAAGAATGGATATAAAAATGATGAGACAGTTTATTGTCCGCTCTTATATCAATACACATATATATCATAGGTAAGTACATTGTTTTTATTTAAATTATGGGTATAAAAAATAATGTAATAAATATATTTCACAAGATGTACAAAGTAAAATAACTTAATTGAAAAATCATAAGTTGAAGGTATTTATGGATTGTAAAATAAACTTCATAAAGTTTAAATAAATTGTCAACTAAATAAAAAGTTTGTTCGATAAGTATATGAATAATATATAAAAACCGTCGCACATTCAATATATGAAAAGTCCAGTTCTAACATTGTCCATTATATAAAACATTAAATATAGCAATATCACACGAACATCTACCTAACCACAGTATCGCTACATAGCTTGCTATAAATATAAACATTTACTATATTCATTTTTAACACATCTATAAGAATTTTAGAAAATTCTCCGCAAGATGCTAAATTTTACATAATAATTATACTGACAATTATTTTTGCATAATCTTCCAATTTTAGCAATTCTATTAGTAAATCTTATGTACTTAAACATGTTTGTTGAAAAGTTGTCTACACCCGATATCGGCCAAACTTTGTGGTCATAAATTTTGATCCTTAAATGCACAAATATTACAATGAAATAATATTTGCTTCATCTGTATGTGTATGACCATAAAGCAGGTACTACATAATATTGTAAATACAATGTAAAGGTTATCATAGTTAAGTACTCTTATGATAGTCTATTGCACATGTTGTGTTTACAAAATAAATAACAGCCATTTATGTAATTGTGTTTTAAAGTAGAAGATATAATTACAAGATCAAGTTGAAATGTAAAGCAAAGTCATGTATTTACATTAAGGGTGATTAGGAAACTTTATCTTATGTAATGAAACACATAGCAACAAACCTTAAATATAGTCTTGAAACTAAACATTACAGCAAAGTATTTTTATTTTCCAAGGTAAAATAAATACTTTCAATATAATATTCATGAAGCCAGAAAAATATATTTTTATTCCTTTCCAAGACAAATAATTGCTACTGTGTATTATAGAAGGAAGTATCGATGGAAGGTGTTTAGTTTCAGTAATTAAATATTTATTTTGTTTATTTGCACGCATTTGATGGCATTCATAGTTTTAAAAAAGACTTTTAATAAAATTATAATACCCGTTTCAATAACTTATTATGGTAGGAATACAATCGCACCTTTAGAATTGTAGTGACCTATTTAAAAAATAACAATTTTTGAGAAACGTAAAATAAATATTTCTGCGCTTATGAACAAACGCAGAGATTGGAGGGGAGTGAAGGAGACCGAAGTATATGTTATGTAGCTTTTTCAAATTAGCCCTTGTTTTAATAAAAGTCGAAAAAGGTTTTCTCTTTAGGTTGTTTCCTGATATTCAAATTTATGATTTTCTTTATTAGGTCCTTTTAATTCTAAAGGTGTGATTATATAAATATACATAAAAAATCTTTTGATCGGTTTAGCTCCCTCAAATCGCCTATGCAATAAATAATTGAATTGAGATATACTTGAACTCAGAATCTATGAACGTAGCCAGCCTAAATTCCCAACAAATTTAAATAGCCTTTCTTTTGTACTTAATATTTTTAGGTAACAAATAGTGACAGTTACTACTGAAATCGATTTCAGTCAACGATGCCTATGTTGTCCTTTGCATAATATTACAATGCATAATTTTTAGGTAACAAATAGTGTCAGTTAACTGAACTCGATTTTAGCTAACGATTTCATGTCGTCTTTTGCTTAATAATATGTTTTGATGACGTCATAACAACGAAAACTTTTTGGGTACCAATTATGACCATTATTACTGAAATCGTTTTGAGTTAACGATGCCTATGTAATCCTTGTCATAATATTACGTTTTGATGACGTCATGACAACGACAGTAGACGACATGAGATCGTTTCTCGTGTCGTCCATTGCTTGATATTACGTTTTGATGACGTCATACGAACGAGTCTGTCACGTATCCATTACCAGGTTTGTCAACGATTATTCCACACGAATAGAAGCCGCCAATACATTGCAGCGTGGCTTTGGCCGGCGATATTTACAGGAAAAACCGCCCTCATCCGCCTTACCATACCTCGCATTTGTGCTTGGGGTTCATGTTCGAGTCGACGGGGCAGTGGAACTCCTCCGCGAACTCCCTCAGGTTGGATATGGGCCCTATGACACGGTACTTGGCGACGGTGTGGTCGTCCTTCTCTATCTGCATCTTGGTCGACTCCTTGGTCATGGCGGAGCACCAGACCTGCGAAGCGGAAACGTCAAGTGTCAATGCGCATATTTATTGGAACGAAGTTCCTTATCGCGCGTCGTGAATGGGGGCTAGACGGAAAAAATTCTCACGAAAAGTTGTAACGACACTTTTTGCTATAGTAAGCTATTGTAAGCTGTGCGGCGTGCGCATGTTTCTCTGTCTGTCACTCTCTCTCTTATAGAAAGCAAGCCAGATATTTTCATTTCTATTTCGCATTGAACAGTGTGGTGTCGCGACGATTATTTTTGTTGAGTGTATATAATAATAATAATGAATTTAGGATATAATTGAATTTTATATAGTCAATATATATAATTATATATTTTTTAAATTTTATTACAATTCCTTCACTAATTAATCGAAAGGAACTTCGTTCCATCCGGGTGTCCCTTGACACCTCTCAATTTTTATTTATTTAAACAGGCTAACCAAGTAAATACATAAACAATTATTATTCTGATGTTTTTTGTTTGATTCACTTAAAAATTAAGTTTAACAAAATTAAAGGTAAACACGACATCGAATAAGACTTCCTTTAAGGAGAACAGTAACCTAGCACTACAGTAAAATAATAAAAGTAGAAGAAAAAAACATAACTTATATCCTTACTAAAGGCGAAAGTTTGCATGTATGGATGAATGTTTGTTACTCTTTCATGCAAATACTACTGAATGGATTTAATGAAACTTTACAATAATATAGCTTATGCATCAGAATAAGACAGGCTATAATTTATACACATATTTTATGTATGTCTTTCTGTCTGAATGTTACGCGTTCAGCCTATTCTAATTGTATAAATAGTATGTATGAATACAAAAGTAGTGCAATAATTCTTGGAACAGTGATATAAATATCAATTAAGAGAGACCGACAGTCAATTTTAAAACTTAAGAGCTTGTGTAATAAAGTTATACTTAATAGATCCTTATGCCTCTCTAAAGGTATCATATGGTAATGCGTTTTCTTATAGCTATTTGATTTAATTATTAAAGTGTGATCAGTCCCTTTGATGTAACTGAGTCTAGCTAACATTCTTTCTTTGTACAAATCTTTAGAATTATTATAGTATACCTACTTAATAAATATAATTTTTGTATAACTTAAAATAATGATTTGTGCGCTTATGAACAAACGCGGTGATTGGAGGGGAGTGAAAGAGACCGACGTATACTAAAACTAAAATCTACTAAAATTGGCGTTTGTTTTAGCAAGAGTCGAAAAAGGTAGGTAGTTATTGTAGACATAAAGTCAAAAATCATGACTTTTCTTAATTAGGTCCCTTAATTCTAAAGGTGCTAATGGAGTGATATGGTGCAAGAAAAAATTCGTTGCCTCTAAATTGAAAAATTAAACGAAAGGCCCGCATCATTAAGTATGTGCTATGACGTCGTAATGTAACTTAGATATGTTTTATGGCTGACAGCAGAGGTTTTCTTGTATATACATTTTATATTTTAGGTGGGAGGGGTTGGGCAGTAAGTACTACCACGACCTAGAAGATCTATTTCCTTTGAAAACATCGCCCCTTACTACAGTTTAACATTGTCCTGAGTTATACCGACATTTTACATATAAGTTTCACACATACACCGAGATCCGAAACAATTATATTTAGCGTCAGAGAAATAGTTGTCTCGTGTTGGACTCGAACCTTGGACCCGCGGCACCGAAGCCGATACATTGGCTACTACGCCACGGAGACATTTTGTATGCCATTAGAATTACCTGAGCGAAGGATATGAAGAACAGCTGCCTATGGTTGTAGTTGACTCCGGGCAGCGTGTAATTAACTTTGGCGCTTCTGCTGTAGTCCAAATAAGCGTGGAACGAGGCCTTCAATCCGCCGTTGTCCGCTATGTTCTCGCCTGTGCACACGAAAATATTACAGTATTATTCTTCCATGCCGGCCTCTACAGAAAACGCTTTCCGAACCGGTGGTAACATACGAATTTATGTACAAGTTTTTATGTAAAATTCGACGTTTCATAAGAACGCGCGAGCGTCCATTTGAAGAGATTTTATCTATTTGAAAAGATATTTTGAGTTTGAGTTTTCGAGTTCGAGTCGACTTCCTTACGTAAGGTATTACTACTTTAATACATTCTCACCCAAAGTCTGTTTCCCGTTCAAATTCATCCCGTCCATAGTGTAGTGCGAGTACTGTTTCTGGATGCATTTGGCCCGCGTCTTGAAGCGGGCGATTGTCGCGTTGTTCCACCACTGGTTGAGGTTCCCGAACCTGGGGTCAGGACGAGTTCTTCGTCAATACAATCGAAAATGAACCCTACGACTGAAGCTCAAGATGTAATCTTCAATGACGCATCCATGTGGTTAATACCCAGCAAAATTGCAAAAAAGAATTTTGTTAATCGTTGGTTTTTGAACTTGGTGCGTTAAAACGAAGTAACAGGTCATGTAATGGCTTTTTTTCGTTTTCATTTTTCAACATCGCCCCGCGTATATCTCTATTTACTTCTTGTGTCAATTTTTGTATAACACTTCTTGTGAACAAACAATCAATAAATAAATATATAAAATGACGTAGGTATACTACAATCGAAATTAAGCTTTACATCACAAACTTAAGGTCGATTATCGTTGACCCCCGGCTTGGTAACTCCGCCACAGAGTCATCGTTTCTTACAAACCGAGCAGAACTTGGTAAAGTAACTTGATAAGGTTTAATGTCCTATATTTTCTTTTTACGCGAGAAGGTTGCAAGCGAGCCGGCGGTTCACCTTATGTTAAATGATGACCGCCGCCCAAAAAGCAAAGTGGGACCCAGCTACTCATCGAATGGTACCACTGCCACTTCACGTTTGCCTTCTGCGAGGTCGTGGTACTCACGGACCTGCCCATTCGTGCAACAGCGAAGGCTGCGTAGCCCTATCCGATGGCACCGCACCTGTCGTACTCCCTGCCCTGGTCGTCGAAGGCGTGGGTGAGCTCGTGGCCCATCACCACCCCCATGGCGCCGTAGTTCACGCTCTTGGGGTTGTCCCCGTCGTAGAAGGGCAGCTGCAGTATCCCGGCGGGGAACACTATCTGGTTCTTCGTGGGCGTGTAGTACGCGTTCACCGTCGACGGCGTCATCCCTGGGGGAGAAACGATTCAGGAATAAATGAAGAAGTAGTGAAACTTCGAGTGCCACGCATTCACTCTCGCTCTGTCTCTTTCTATTCCCTCTCCCCAGGAGCGTTGAAAATTTAACGCAACAGTGCTTACATACCCCCTCCGTGGTAGCGTTAAACGTTTAGAGCAACCTTTTTGGAAGTCGCATTAGAAGTTTCGAACAACGAATGAAATGGCGAACATACGAATGATTGAATGACTGAAATCATTTTTGAGGGGGGTTTCCAGAGACGATCGAAATGCAGCGAATTAGTGGCGAGCATACGATTGATTGAATGATTGAATGAACGTGATGACGCTTATTTGAATGACGTTCTCGAATTACAGTTTCTATTCTGTTGGAATGACAATGCTTACCTTATGCAAAAAATAAAAAAAAATACAATTTATGAAGATTTAAAGATAGCTCTCAGTCGCGTTTTAGGATCGATCGAATTTCGACTTTATTTCTGGCGCATTAAAGCTTAGCGCGCTCACCCCATTTCGTCTTGTTGACGGGCTGGTCCAGTTTCTTCAAATCGTTCTTCAGACTGAACACGTTGAAGGCGATGTTGTTCTCGAAGTACTCGTTCGGTTGCACCTCGAGTTCGGCGTACTGCTTATTAAGCTCGTCCTTGTTCAATATGTAGTCGGGGAAACCTGTAGCAGAGTGGAAAGGTTCCTTAGTGAGGCTTACTACAGCTAAGACCCGATTGGCGTAGTGGGTAGTGACCCTGTCTCTTGGGCCAGAGGGTGCGGGTTCGATCCCCACTACTGGAAAAACATTGTGTAATGAAGTTTTTCTAGTGTCTGGGTGTTTATGTGACCCTGTCTCTTGCGCCAGAGGTTGCGGGTTCGATCCCCACTACTGGAAAAATATTGTGAGAACGTAGTGTTTTTCTAGTGTCTATATATCTGTGTGCGTGTTTATATATCTGTAATATGAATTTGTTTACAAAAGAAAAGTACGTTTGTGTATGTTTATCAGTTACGTGGTACACATAGTACAAGTTTGGCTTAATTTAGGACTTAGTCCTAAATTAAGCACAGCCTACGAGACATATTTTTCAGCACAACGCTATCTAGATAGCGTTTATTACGGGAAATATTTTTACGGGACACATTGTTATTACGGGACATATTTTAGCACAACGTTTGCCCAAAAATATGCCTCGTAATATTTATAAAAAATAAGAAGTGATCCCTCACCGATCATGTCGGTGATGGCGTCCGCCTTGATCTCGGCCGCTTGGCGGGTTTCGGAGTCCATCCAGTCGAGGTTGTTCAGGTTCTCCTTGAAGGCGCTCCGGATGCGGTCGATCATGATCTCGCCCTGGGTCTTCGCCTCGCCCTGGAACACCTCGCGGACGAACATCGCGCCCACGGCGAACCCTGGGGACGGGAGATTTTCATTTTATGGGTGAAGCTGGCAAATGGTTATGTTGATGATAGACCACCCCCACTTATTGCACACCCAGCTTGCAGTTGTGTTGCCATCTATTGGTGCTTCGTATCCGGCTCGAAGGACCAATGTATGCTGTATCAATATAGGCCCGGTTCACTATAATTAATGTGGAGTCGCTGGTAATAAAAAAAATTTGGTGGTCGTCTCGAATGAATCTTGGAAATAGAATTTGGTCGTGCTTCATCTGTCTTTTTATATGGTCTTGTTCCTTAAAATGACTACACCAACCAGACGAAACGCAAAAGTACTTCTAATTTTAAGCCGGTGTCCTGTAAGACAGAGGTATTTTCCCGGACGAGCCTGGCCATGCTTTAGAATGTTGCTGTTTAATATCTTAGGCAATGGTAATATCTGAACATGACTTTTAAAATACTTAGTTGACTTTTAGCCTTTTAAGCGGCCGTAAGCGAGTTAATAATTTAACCGATCTACAGAAAAACAATTGTGGGATTGTTTTAAAAAAAACGCTGCCAACCTTTTAAGGACTAGGTTATCTCTTACTAGAGGAAACGCAATAGTATTGTAGTTTCACTTCACGCCGGTCTTTCGTAAGACTTTAGTGATCCAAAGATCCTGCTTGGTGCAATCCCATTGTGTGAATTGAACCCGATGATTTGTTAAGGGGGGGTTGGATCGAATCAAGACTTGCATAATGAGTTTAGATTTTTATTACCTCTTCCCTTTATATCCTTCTGGAAATTGTGAATAGGTTTGTAAATCGATAAACCGAAGACAATCATTTGTAATTTATTAAAGTAAAAGTACACCTTAATAATTTAACAACTTACCGATGGCGTTATTGGTGTCGGTGACGCAGTACCGCCAGGACTCTTCGGTGCCCTCTGAACCGAAAAGCGCCTTCCTCAAAATCTTGGTGGCGTCGCGGAAGGATTTGGATAGATACGTGGACAGCGAACGGGAGACTTGCCACATCATGTAGCTTGTCACTGTCCTGTAGAAAAAAAAAATTCAACCCTTGATCATATAAATATTGGATCATTCAAATCTTAAGGTAACTATTGAAACAATAACTCGGATGTAAGAGCTGTTGGAGACGACCATCTTAACCATTGCATCCTTTCCAATGATGTCACAAGTTTTAAGATCACTTATTGCCAGTTGTTTATATCGTATGACGGTACCTAGTAAAGGAATGCTCTATGTGATGGGTGCATTTGTCAACTATCGCTACTTGGCCAAGCTGACCAAAAATATGTAATTCTATGAAAAAAAAAGACCAATCAAATTGCAAAGGGGAAGGGTACATATTTTCTGTACGCATACAAAGGATCCCCATGTAGTTACGAGGGTGGAATGTTGTTTTAATGCAAAGATGAAATTATACAAGACCTTCGTACACGCTTCACGAGACCATTAGAATGTTCTAGATGATATTAAAAGCAAAGTAATACGATAGATCAAGGGTGACAAACGTAAGATAGAACAAGCTCTATGTATAAAAAGTTTTCGTCGAAGTTATATTAGTGACGCTGTGATCAAATCTCTATTTATTGAATTTTAGATTAACGACATTTTTTAATTATGTACGGTTTTGCAAACAATGTTTAGGTGTATACCTAGACACTGGAAAATTTCAATCATAGAACTTCACGACAGGTTTTATTTAAACAACTGTGGAAGGGTTAATCTTCAGTTTTTTTTAATCGCACCTTAAAAAGAGAGAGTCAGTAACGTACGTGCGAACGAACGTAGAAAAGTGATTCATGCAATAACTTGTTTATACAGGCATTTTCACCATATTTTAAAGTCATCTGGACAAGCTTGATATAAACTGATGCTTTTGTTCGAACGTTGTTATTAAGATAAACGTACTCATCTCACGAGTATGAGACTTACGTCCACACTCAGAGACTTGAATTAGCACTTATTTTTTATTGTGTGAAGGCGGCATTGCGGTTCACCTTATGTTAAGTGATAACCGCCGCCTATTGACATTTGCAACACCGTTGTATTGCAGATGCGTTGCCATTGTTGTTCTCTTTCACTAGACGAAATGCAGAAAGTATACTTAACACTTCCACTTGCAGACCTGCCCATTCTCGATCAGCGAAGACTGTTGCGTGGCCCTACCACCTCTGCATCCTGCCTTACCCGACATTTAATTTGCTCCCGCGCTCAAATACTTGTATCATGGCGATTGTAATTAAGTAGATCAGGCCGCGAATGCCGAAGACGTGGGTTCGATTCCCACAGCGGCGACATTCTTTTCGTACTTTTTCTACAAATTTTAACATGCTAATGGGCCATTACGTGTTGCTAATGGGCCATGCGTCACTTACTTTTGGTCGTCTTCAGTCCTGCTGTATTTTCTGACCACCCGCGTGAGATTCCGGAAGTATTCCGGCGCGTACACCACTATCCTCTCGTTGTCCGATATCTGCAATTGATTTCGTGTACTTTAAATATATATATATATATATATATAGTAATATAGCTAGTAATAACTAGCGAACCCGACAGACCTTGTCCTGTACACACGACTTAAATCCGAGAACTTGTTAATAAAAATAAATAAAAAAGTTGTAGTGTCACGAATTGTGATCTCGAATCGAATTGAAGACACACACAAAATTTCATTGAAATCGGTTTCAATCGGGCAATCGGTCAAAAGAAACAAAAATGTTGACTGTTGCTTTTCAGAATACACTTGCAAATAGTATGTATGTCCATAAAAATAAGAATGAATTTTCAAGATTTAGTAATGTGCATGATATAAATACTAGGAACAATCATAAACTAATTCTATCCTTATCTATATTACCGAAAAATCCAGAAAACTTTCAAAATTAATCATCTGCTAAACACAAAAAACTTGTAAAGGAACGTTTGTGTCCTAAAGGCTATTAGTATTAGTGATCATTTGAATGATAACACACTCTGGAAATGAGTTGATCGCTCCAGGCTCTTTCTAATTGAATTTAATATTATATTGTATACATGTTTGTTATGTTTTTTGTCAAATTATTTTTCAACAATGTTCTGTACAAAACTGGAGTACACGGTACTTAATCAACAATATTTCTTTATTTTATGAATCCTCAATAGTTATTGAAAATTATTTAAAATAAAATAAGATAAAAAAAATTATTTATAATAAGTGATAAACGATAAATATATTATTGATATTCAAACAACAAAATGCGTCAAAATGAAGCATGGTCAACGCGTATTTTTCTTTTTACCAAAAGTTTTTACCAAGTCTACTGCTGTTATCCACAATGTGTAAACCGTGTATACACGAGCGAAAACTATGCACAGTTGTTTATTGAAAGTTATTACAGATTCCTCTTTATTTCATTGAGTTATATGAAATTGTTCCAAATATAGTTCCTACAAAAAGTTAATAAAAGGTACTAAAGGAGATAAAAATTAATTTTAAAATCCTTTATCTAGAAAGTCAAACAAAATGACAGGCGAATTAACTCACAGTCCTGTTGACCAGCTTGAAAGCGTCATTGAAGAAGTTGGACCAGTTCAAGAATGGCACTTCCTTCTGCCACTGCTTCAGCGTGTAGGGGTTGTAGAGTCCCTCCTCATCCCTGCGGTCTTCCGAAGGGGTTGTTATGTTGGCCAGCTCCGTTTCGAACTGGATCACCTTTATCATCTGTGCCCTGGCCTCGGATTTGTTCGCGCCGAGGAGTACGCATATCCTCGTCATGTAATCCAGGTAAGCGTCCAGTACTTTCTTGTGTGCGGTCTTGTTCAGATAGTTGTCGCGAGTGGGTAGGTTAAGACCTCCTTGGTCCAGCTGAAATGAACGGGTTTGGTGAAAACCGTGGTGGGGCCACGCAGCAGCCTCGGCTGTTGCACGAGTGGGCAGGCTCGCCCGGGTAAGTACCACGACCCCATAGAAGACCGCTGAAGTGGAAGTATTATACTTTCGCGTTTCGTCTGGTGAGCGAGGTAGCCGGCGCCCAATTTTCAAAAAGTTTGTCAACGCATCTGCAAACCCTCGGGTGTGGCAGATGTCCATGGGCGACAGTATTAACTTAACATCAGGTGAACCGCCTGCTCGCTTGACAACTTTTTACATGAAAAGAAAAATCCCTCAGAGGGAAACGTTCTTGAATCGATTGCACACACGGATACAAAAGTGATTAGCATTATAGATTTTCATTAGTATATATTTTCATTCTTATTTTTAGCCCTGAGGAAATTCTGATCTCAGATCCTGAATAAGTAATAAATCTAGTATAGTTTAATAGTTTTTTTCATCATCAGTGGTCGCCGTTCCCTAACCAACAATTGCAAGTAAGGAAAAAAGAAATAAATGTTTTTTTGGAACAAAAATTCTTAAAATAACAAAATAATAACAAATGAATGAACCCACTCAGCATTACATCGCGGAAAAATTTCGCGATTACTGGTTTTCAATCGAACCTGGAGAGGCCGATAGATGATAACGATGACAATAATAATAATAATAGATTAATTATTATTAACAAATGTAAAAATTAATAATGCAATAGTTGTAACGGAAAAAAATGATGTGTATAAAACGGAATTAGATAGGAGACGAGGAGAAATTGTGGTTTAACTTCATATAATCAGGAGTAAAAAGCATTGAACGAGGAATAACATCTAAGATTTAAGTTGTAACTAGACTTATAAGCGTGGGTGAATGATTCGTTTAAGGAAGTACCTTCATTATTGTGTTCAGTATTGGAGACGATTTTAGTTTGTGGTTATTATTAAATATATTATTTGATGTATGAACACTGTCTAATTCGAAATCAAGTCATGATGTAGGCACAAAGAAAACACGTCTCTGAAAAATATTCACGGTCTTCGAAGACATTCCAAATTAGGACCATGGACAGACACTGGCAAATTGATCCACTATTCCAGCCAAAAAGTACAGTGTCTATGTCAGGTCAATTACTTTAAACATGATTACATGTGTAGGGGTGGGTTACCGGGTCTTTATTTTATGGGATGGGAATATTTTTTTTTATATTTCATTCATTTGCCATTACATTATTTTATTTGAATCTAATCTCGTGTTCAATGTATGTCTCGGGATAGGCTAAGACGTTAAGTTAGATTTTAACTGAAAAATATTCACGAGTATTCTATACGTTCCTCGTAATTTACTTTAATCGATGTTATAATTTCACTTACGACGATAACATGTTTCGATGAATTCCTATCATCCTCAGTCACAGCCCAATTAAAGAGCCCGCCGAGGTTGTATCTGTAACAATGTGATTATTGGAATAGTTACTTTTGTAAAACGTACATTGTAAATTATTGACGGTCAATAACAAGAAAATTCAAGCTCTAACTTTTTAGTACTTAATTAAGAAAGATAATATATTTTATTTAATAAAACTGTTTTTACCGAACATATTGTAAAGCTATATATGAGAAGGAGGAGAATGAAGATGGAGAATGGAGAAAGAATTTAAAGATTTGCATTTCCTCCGGAGAACGAAACAAACATAGGCCTAATCTTTTAAAGGATAAGACACACAACTAATGGTGATCTGATTGCCACCTTGCATTAAGAACACGTATTTGAGTATAGGAGGAGTTTATACTCCTCATGTACTCAAATACGTATTCTAAATAACTGCTAGACTCATAAGAGTCATTTCTTAACCAACCGTGTGTGGTCACAGAATCGAACAAGACCCCGAAAGAGGCCATGTACGCACCATCATTAAATAGTTTTCGAGAATAGACTAGACAGTAACAAATCTCCAAACTTCAAGACGCAAACGCATCAGCTTAAAAGCTGCTAGCGTCATCTACAAATTAATAATTAACTACTCACGTGTTCTGCACATCCTGTACCAGCCTCTGCAAGTCCCATTTCTGCTGCTTGATCATAGTGTTGGGCAGTATGTGCCAGCCGCCCAGCTTCTTGATGATGCCGATTAGTGGTTTCTCGCCTAGCTTCTCAATGGTCTCATTAGTGTCGATGCACGCGTCGTAGTATATCCTCGCTTTAGCCTCCGCGTCGGACACGTCAGAGATGTTTACTTTCTCTGAAATATAAATATATCGGTATCGCACTTTGATTAGCCGAGACTCTCTTACCCACCCTTAATTCAAACGGACTAATGTAAGCTATGTAACATCGCACTGTTTTGGAGAAATCAATATCGAACATTTACGGACGGTTTCTAAACACTAAAACACACAATCATTTTTATTATTATTTAGCAAATGTAATATTTTTGGAGTTATACCTACTTCTTTTGGCGCGTTGAGGAAAAATTATGTAAGCAAAATTTTCACGACGCGCGCGCGCGCCTACTGCCAAAAAACGACATGATCACTTTTTCACAAAAGAAAAAGTTAGAAACTTTAATTTATTTATCAGTTTTATCTTTTTAAGATGAACACTATTGCTAATCTGCGATTATAAGGCCGAGTTAACTATTTAATTCGCAAATGATTCAGCTTCATCATCATCATATCAGCTTAACGAATCTCAATTGTTTTCATAATAAACCTATTTTATTTATGTTCGCTTAAGTTTCAAAAAATCTACGTATTTATTAGTATGGAAGTTATTATTTATCTTCCTAATGAGAATAATCCGGCCCCATGGGTATATTTTACCAGCGATGTTTATCGTGAGCTCATTGAAATTGTTTATTCATAATTCATTTTGCCTGTACTAGAGTCACGCAGCTCAAGCAAGCTCCGAAAGTTTTTTTAACTGATTTAAACGCTTTCAGTCCCGGGACTATTAAAGCTTCATCGAACGCAGAACCCGTGGGCTAGCCAGAACCCACGGAGGCCCTCCACAGTTAAGGCTCCGGAAGTACTACGCCCTCACAGAAGACCAGCGCGAAGTGATTCACGTTTCATCTGATGAGTAAGCTAACCAAAGATTGGTAACATTGGCAACCACTCGGGTATTGGATAGATGTTCCTGGGTGGGAGTAATCACTTAACATCAGGTGAACCACCACCTCTCTTGCCCACATTTCACATTAATGAAAAAATATGCCACTGAGCAGCAGCCTCGGCTGTTGCACGAATGGGCCGGCCCGTCCGGGTAAGTACCACGACCTCACAGAAGACCAGCGTAAAGTGGAAGTATGGCAAATACTTTCGCGTTTCGTCTGTTGTTTCGTTTTAAGTGAGATAGCCGAAGCCCAATTTTCAAAAGATTGTCAACGCATCTGTAACCCCCGGGTGTAGCAGATGTCAATGGGCGGCGGTATTCATTTACCATCAGATGAACCGTCTGCTCGTTTGGCAACTTTTCACATAAAAAAAAAGTTTTATAAATTTTAGTGTGAACATACTTAGTGTAATAAAATCGATCAATTATTTACACTTCAAATAAGTCGTTTTGGATTCGATAACTTTGGCTAAATAAGGAAAACATATGAAACTAATGTCGGCATAATTTTTTTACACACCGAAATATGTGCACATACTCTCGAACGAAAAGCGATAAAACAGTCATCGTTAAGTTCGAATGATACGCCAGTACATTTCTTTTTCTTTGTTACAGAGCTTTTTCGCTTAGTCAATGTGTCGCTCCCAATTAATATTTAACTTTCACTACAAATGGCTCATTGTCCGGGCGCTAGCTTTTAATTCCATCTCTGTACGGGGGAGGCCTTTGCCCAGCAGTGAGATATTTATAGGCTGTTTCTTTACTTTACTTACAAATGATACAGCCTATTTTTTAAGTCAAACCTAATCGAGGCGTTTCCACTTTCTTGGACATAGCGTTTACAAGGTGGCCGAAACATAAATGACCATTGGTCATTCGAAATATATCATTAAGGTAACGACAAACGTCAAAACGGATTCGAAACTATTGGGATTAGCGTTGGATGAAACGTTAAAAATCGCGTTCGTTTCTCGTTTTTCGGAGTACTGATTCCAAATCACGAGGAATTTTTAGACGCAATCCTTATATAAATTTAAGAAAAACTCGATAAGCAACATCGGCGAACACGTTTGGTCTACAACAACATATATATTTATTTTTTTTTTTACCATAAATCAGTGCGAAGTTAATGCTCTTCAAAAACGTAAGCACAAATTATCCTAACAAATACATATGCGATAAGTGATAAATATACGAATATCGAATTTACAATGGGGCGCTAATTTCAATATACCTAAGTGGGACGCCATGACAGTTCCCGTTTGGTAATAGTGTTGTGCGAAAATATCGCTTTTTAGTTTTGTTGGACAATAATTAACAGTTTACTGACGTTGTTAACACCGACATCCAAACATCTTGTACTTCCATCGAGATGTTATGAATTTATTTTATCATTTAATTTTATATCGTCTTAGCCGTTTGATTTAAATATCTCTTATAATTTAACCAACTGAAAATAGCACGTTGTAAGGCAATTGACAAACTGTATGAAGAGGTTGGGCGAATTCAATGGTAAAATTAAACATTTTAATGCGATATGCGATGAACATATCATTTAAATAAAAATGATGTAATTTGTAATCTAAATGCCTTTACAAATTGCAAATTAAATTTCTAAGTTGTATCTGAACTTTTTGTAACCATTAGCCTGCACTCACTTTTAAATGATGCGATCGCGAATGTTCAATGTGCATTTTCAATTCAAAGCCAAATGAATGCAAAGACGCTTCTCACGATCCTTTTTTGAAGTCGGGTAAAAAGGTCACTGGCCATTAATTAATGGAGCTCATGCTCATTAAGTCCTCAGTCCACCGTAAGTTACTTAATTGGATCCCTTATTCTTAATGGTTTAATGTTGATCCAGAAAAAGATATCTCAAGAGTTTATAAATTTTAGGAATAGATGTATGTTTATGAAGGATACTTAATTAAATAGCAAGACAATAGATGTCTATGTTTTAAAACATTAGAATAAGTTTTTTGTTGTGTAATCCTGATACAATTTCAGTACCGGCAGGTCCCGAGGTCTGGAGGCCCCGAGGTACAGGTATAGAAGGAATGATGGACAAGATGAACAGATGCCACAGCTTCGCGCGGTTGAAATGTATTAAACATATAAACCTTCCTATTGAATCACTCTATCTAGTAAAAAGCCGCATCTAGATCCGTTGCGTAGTTTTATAGAAACTCTAAGCATACATAGGGACAGACAGACAACGTGACGACTTTGTTTTATACTTTACTGCTGTTGTCTGTGGTGGAAGCCCATGTTGAGCAGTGGATTGGAACAGATTGAAATGATGGTTGTTGTACGTAGTCTTAGGAAAGAATATCAATGTCTTAACAGAAGCAAGGACTATCTACCCTCCTAAGGCAATTGTACAACGGCGAGGTAGAGATGTATGTGTAAAATAAATATTCGTAATATACGAGTAGATGCCGTTTTACTTGTATGTAATTTATATTACTATGATAATAATAATAATGGAGCCGTCTGTAACCGTCACCGAGCAAAACCTGGCAGACCGAGTTCGGTACATCACGCGTTCGAAAATATTTGATGATGCCGAACTCGAACGACTTCGACGTGAGGCTGTTCCCTCATCGGACGAAAATGCAGTAGCTGGAAATGCGACCCCGCAAGCTGCGGATCCCGCGGGGTTACAAGCGGAAGCGGAGGCCGCGTTTTACTCCCCGGCTCCTGTAGATTCGGTCGCCCAAGATATAGAGCAGATGAGAAGCATATTGGAGGAGGCAATTCTGGAGGTGCACGAAACGCCTCTCGAGAATCGACCACGTCTCCCCCGCATACCCCTGAGTAAGCGGAGTCGGTCTTTCGTAAGGTCTCTTAACCCGATGCTGGCAACCTATTTGGAAGCTAGCCGGGACCTTTGCGATACGGACTCAATTCTATTTGGTGCTGCACTGGCAGTTTGCCGAATCGTTGGCGCCAAACTTCCCAATACTGGACGTGCTACTAGACCAGGTAGGACTATCCCAGCATGGAGAAGAAGAATTGAGGACCGTATTATTACTCAAGACCGAAGAATTGAGAACGTACAAAGGTAAGGGCCATCATCGGCAGGCTGATAAGCTTCAGGTCTGGCAATAATAAGCCCAGAATTGTGCGCACCGTTAGGATGGCGTTCGCTAGGACCAACATCAACTTGTCCCAGCCGGATATTACGCAAAAACTAACGGAGCGCATAGATGACCTGAAGCAGAAGATCGCTGCTTGGGGGAAGCGGATTCGGAGATATGTCGAGAGGACGGCGCGGTTTAGCCAGAATCGCCTTTTCCAGATTGACCAAAAGAGGCTCTACAAATCCTTGGAGCGACCAATGAGTTGTGGAACGGGCCAAGGACCAGACCAGGCCGACACTGTCGCCTTCTGGCGCAGCCTGTGGTCAGAGCCCATAGACCACAGCGAGGGATCTTGGGCGCAAGTCATGGCGAGCCGATGCGCAGATATTACACCCATGGACCCTATCGTCATAACACCCGACGACGTATCTGAGGCAGTCCGTAAAGCCCCGAACTGGAAAAGTCCGGGACTCGACGGGCTGCATCACTACTGGCTGAAGGGGTTCGTGGTGTGTCATGCTGTGCTTGCCCGACAGTTCCAAGAGGCTCTCGATCAGAGCTCGCTTCCGAGCCTCTTTACTACTGGGGTCACTCATTTGGTTCCGAAAGATCATGTTACCACAGACCCGAGTAAGCCCCATTACGTGTCTACCTACCATCTATAAGACACTGACATCTATTCTGAGTATGAGAATCACCCGGCATATTAATGTGAATCGGATTATGTCTCGTACTCAGAATGGATGTCGGGGCGGCGGTCGTGGAACCAAGGAACCGCTTCTCATCGACGCGGTCATTGGCAAAATGGTTAAACGCAACCGTCGGAACCTCTCTGCCGCCTGGATAGACTACAAAAAGGCATTCGACTCGGTGCCCCATTCATGGCTAAAGAGGGTCCTCGAACTGTACAAAGTAGACTGTACAGTAAGAGACTTCCTCGGGCACTGTATGGAGCAATGGAGTACGATCCTTTGTCATCTAGGCGAGCGGATGACGGCTGCGGAATATCGGCTAGGGATACGACGGGGTATTTTCCAGGGTGACT